TAATTTGAACTACATATTTTTCAGGTGTAAATGATTGTATATTTTCAGAATAAAATTTTTAAGCCAAATCATTGGCTTTATTTACTAGTTTCTACGCCTATTAAACCTATCTTTGATGTATAATAGAACTTTAACCATATATGTATAATAGTCCTCTAAAGTTATCCATATAATAGAACTCCAACCATATATGTATAATGGACATATAATTATAGATGTATAATTGACGTATATCGATATACGTATATTAGAATTTCATTCTAGAAAATTTACGCACCACATTTATATGTCTAAGGTATGTGTTTAATAGACATATATTCTACATCTTTTGCCCACTGGGGTAGGTTCATAGTAAACCCCCACTTCTCACTGAGGGTGTCTCCTGTGCTGTTATGTGTGCTCATTACTGAGGGATTCACTGTGAAGAGCAGAATGGAGACACAGTGGTTGCCTCATAGCGCAATGTACACATTTCAGACAGGTGCAGCCCACACTGCAGGACTTTTCACTCAGGAATCACATGGAATGGCACTTTAATGTTTCAAGGTCCCTTGACATAAAGCTGGATTTAAGTGTATCGTAGGAAGGAAAAGGATGCTGAGAAAGACTGGATTAACAGGTACTCTCTAGCAGTTTTGTGCTGCACTGTTTATGATGTGCAAATGTAAAATGTCCAGTTGTAAAACTCTTCCAACTCTTTTTGACTCTGTGAATCCATCTCTTCTTCATACAACTTAGTGGTCATCGACTCCAGGTTTTCTCATAAGGCTGGTCGTGAGGAAGCAGAGTTCTGATGTTTCCACTGGGTATTTCTAATCTATCAACGTCTTAGAGTAATCCAGTGAGGCCTGAAAGGGGACTAACTAGTCTCCACCTGTGTTCTCCTGTTGTGATTGTGATGATTTCAGAATAAACTCAGCTGTTCCTGTGGGTCTCCTCTGCTGGGCAGTGGATCTCCAAGGAAAGAGACAACTATGGGCAACAAGAAGTGATCAAAACACCCAGATAAAGTTGTGGAAAGGCGCAGACCAGGAGATGGATAGAAAAGATTTCACTTTGTAAAGGAAGAATCAATTATGACTTAATGTATCTTCATTGTTATTTTAGAAAGAGTGTGTGAACTCTGTAGGCACTGTACCTGATGAACTGCAAGTGAACACTGAAACATACATTCCTCTGAAGCACCACAGCGAATGAGAGCTTCCTGATTGTCTGTGCTGTTAGACCACATTTTTGCACAGATAATACATTTGAGCTGTCCTACAGCTAACTCACGCACTGTAATTACTGTTGTTGACTAAAAATGTACAGAATTTATTCAGTTTTTTACTTGATGGAATGTGGAAGAGTGAGATCAAGGTAAAAGGGAAGTGAGGTACATCCCAGTGCAAATATAGTAAAAGTACACTCCTCTCTCAGTGTCTGCTGTCCTCTTCTGAATGTTTGACTGATTGTTTATGTGTTATAAAGAGGAGGGAGGGAGACAAGGCGTGTCTCTCCAGGTGTGTAGAGAGACTGGAAGAAAGAGAGAACAGATGAGGGAGGGAGGGACAGGAGGCATGTCTCTCCAGGTGTGTATATCAGAGCAGGAGACCGACAGAGGGAGAGAGGAGAGAAAGGAGAAGCTGCAGACAGGACTCTGACACACTAGCAGTCATGGCGGTGGGCATCAGTCTCTGCGTGTTGGCGGCTCTGGTCCTGACAGTGAGAGGTAGGTGGTGTCTGTCTGGCCAGTGGCTGACGTGTGTCTCTCAGGGCTCTGACGAGCTCTACTGTCCTCATTTATCAGCACAGTTTATCCACAGGAGAGCTGAGTAACTGATGAGCTCTGAAAATATTGATATTATTTGTAAAATAAACTTTTGTCAATGGTGTATTTTTGCTCAAGTAGTCACACATCTTTTGTAATTATTAAAATAAAAAACTCTTTTCTCTCATGACACTAAATCTATGAGCTTCTCTTCCACAACTGTTCTTCACACAACAAGTAATTCTCAGCTGCAGATTAGGATTCTGTAACTAAGCACTCACAGTAGAACAAATACTTTTATTTCACTGAAGAAAATTCACTAGAGATGATACTTTTTAAAAAAAGTATTAAATGTGTGGAATCTATGCTAGCCTTCTCAGTCATTTTACAAATTAATTTGACATCTAATTTTTAAACTCTTAAGCTATCAACAATGTAATTTCACAAAGTAATAGGTCTTGGATGAATTAAAAATACAAAATAGAAAGGTATATTCAAATGTAAATAAACCACTATAGTGCAGCTCTACTGGTTTACAGATGCAGACATTCAAAATGCACGGTACAATCCTGTACCGCGCGAAATTACCCAAAGTTCACCGCATCGTACCGCGATACGTGATTTGGCCAAAATGATGGACATGGGCACTCATGGTGCATTGGTTGTTATTGAAACAATTTAATCATTTAATCTCTTTTCTATGCATGTTTTAATTCGCTTAATATTTAATTTGAATATTTATATGGAATTTTACAACTAAAGGGAAATTTTAGAAGCTGAGCTTAAAAGGAAGAGGAGCATAACGCGTCTTAAGGTCATAAACGATATTAATTAAGGAACATAAATGTATTATGTAAAACATATTATGTATTATGTAAAAAATGCATACTTTTTAGAATGTAATTAATAAGCAATATAATATGGAATCACGTATCTAAAGAAATTGATAACAATATAATTATATTCATATACTGGAGCTCAAATTATCACAGTAGTACACTTTCTTTGGAAATGTCTGCATCACTTTAACTCCTTCCTCTGTGATTACATGTGTGATGTAATGGCTTAGGCTTGTGTCTTGTGTGTTAGAGGTTGGGGGTTTGAAACCAGCTGTCAACATGAATTATCTTTTAACAAATTAAAATATGTTTGGAAAAATAAAATTTCAAATATTATGGACATTATATTGACAAGTTTTTATATTTCTAAATATCATAACGTTCAAAGCTAAGTCATTTTTTTAATAACAATGAATAGTTTTAAACTGCTACTATGCTGTCACTACTTTCATAATTACTGATAATAAATATTATTGACACTATATTGAATTTGTTGGTATTTCTAAATATCACAAAATGTTCAAAGTTAAGTGAGTTAACCTTTTCCATGAATACTTGCACTCGTTATCGCAGTTAAATAAACACATACTTTATAGAATTTAATTCTTAGGGAATATAATATGGAATCGCGTATCTAAAGAAATTAATAACAATATTAATTTAAGGATCTAAATATATGTATTTATACTGTATAGCTGGTAGTATTACTGTAATCCACTTTCTTTGTAAACACATTTTATTTTTAATTTGACTCATTCACGCATGATTCAATTCAATTCAACTATTTGTCATTATACTTACAGGGGTGCATAGTATAGTGAAAAGTGTTTCTCAGGTGCAGTATATAAATAGAACAGAAGACAAGACAATAGACAGTAACACAATAACAATGACAGTGTAATCAAAAACTGTGCAAATACGCAAACAGAGAAAAGTATACAAACAGGACAAAAACAGTGCAAAAGTAATTCAGCGAACCATGCAAAAATAATGTGGTGATTAATACATTACAACTAGTACAGTTTTAAGTACCATTTCTGCTTACATTCAGTTGTCATGTATCTAGTGGTGTAGGAGCACAGTCACTGGGGGTATAGGAAGAAGTGAGGAGAGATCATAGTATGATGGGAGGGAGTGGGGGCATAACCAGCTTGAGTCTAGTTGTGTGCGACTGGAGCGTTCGGAACCTTCTGCCAGAAGGTAGGGAGACAAACAAGTTATGACTGGGATGAGTGGGGTCAGACATAATTTTGGTGGCTTTTTTCAGACTCCTGGCGTTGTAGATTTCCTGGATGGGTGGTAAGGCACTGCTGATGATGTTTTTTGAGTGCCTTTGTGAAATTTCCCTGCGGCAGAATATACGCCACTGTGAGAACTGCGGATGTGAACTCCCTTGGGAGATAGAAAGGGCGACATTTTATTGTCAGATGTTCAAGATGTGTAGAGCATGATGTTGAAATAATCTCCACGTTTGTGCACCAGGAGTTGTTTAAGCATACCCCGCTGCCTTTGCTCTTACCCAAATCCGTTGTTCTGTCCTGACGGTGAATAGAAAATCCTCCCAGGAGGATAGCAGAGTTTGGAACAGACGGGTCAAGCCAGGTTTCAGTGAATGCCAGCACGTTGCAGTTCTTGATGTCCCATTGGAAAGCAAGCCTTGCTCTCAGTTCATCCAGTTTATTGTCCAGTGACTGAACATTAGCAAGAAGTATACTCGGGAGCGGGGCACGATTGCTGCGCTGCCTCAATCTTACCAGAACGCCTGCCCGTTTACCCCTCTTCCTATGACGCCGTCTTCTTCCCAGTACAGGTACAGGTGAGACACCACAGTCCAGATAGCTGTCAGTAATTATTGGTGTAGATTTAACTGTGCCAATATTCGATCTTATGTCTATAAGTGTTGCTCATATCTAATCACCGAGCGAACAGTACGTGCAGTTAGCAGTATGAAAAACAACAAAAAATTAAGAAATAGACAAGGACTGTGGGCGCCATCTTATGTCTTGCTTTTCTGAAATATACAGAATTTTTTATGTTAAGTGATTAACATGCTGTAATACACAGTTTTAAATTATTAAAAGTTGAAAGAGTATACAACTTAAATTCTTAATTGGAAAAAGACTGCCCCTCAGCAGTGACCGGGATTTGAAACCGGTCGTTTTCAGGTGATAGCTCAAATACTGTACATGAGACCTTAAGCTTTATTAGCTCCACCTGACAGTTTTCCAAGGTGATTCTGGATACTATTATCATAAATTGCAGTGAATGCATTTGGATAATAATAATAATAATAATAATAATAATAATAATAACAATAATAATTATTATTATTATTATTATTACTATTATCATTATCTACAATGTTCAATCGAGTGAAGGTGCAAAACAAAAAAACAGACAAGATTTTCAAAAAGTCAAAGAAAATCAATGAAGATGGAAATTAATTAAAAGTCTCTGCTGCAGATAATAAAAATGTAAACTAACCAAATACTGTTTCAGTAGACAGACAGTGACTGGAGAGACTATGACCTTAACTCCCACACAGACCGGGGAGGTGAAGGAGAAGAGTCTCTCAGAAGGAGAACAGGGTGTTGAGGCAGGTGGTCACTAGGGAGAGTTACTGAGAACAGACACTGGGAAACACCTGGGGATGAGGAAACTCTCTGTGGGGAACTGAGAGAGGAAATACTGATCATTAATTCCACAGGGGTCACTCTGTGGAGTAATGTGGCTCAACACAAGAGGACTCATTGTTCAATTTTGAGATCTGGGAGTCAGGAAACTGTGACTGCTGGAGAGGAGTACACCTTGCTACAAAACTTTCATCCGTTCTTAAAGAGTTCTTTTTCTATTTTTAGTTCTGGTATGGAGTATGCATCTGAATCTATTTTTGTACCACTTTCTCTGTGTAAGACATGTTTTAGAGTCATTGTGCTCAGAGGTTTGGGATTGGAGAAGGACAGCTCACCCTCAGTCTTTCTCTCTGTTGTGTCTCTCCAGCCTGCGGCCAGGCGCCCCTGAGTCCCAGTGTTCTGCAGGGAAACTCTGCCAAGGAGGGGTCCTGGCCCTGGCAGGCCAGCCTGCACTGGAAAGGTCAATACTTGTGTGGAGGCTCACTGATCAACAGCAACTGGGTGCTGACAGCTGCAATTTGCTTCAATGGGTAAAGAACTAGAAGACATCTTCTCTATATCCACTCAGAGATACATCTGATGAATGAATTTCATTGCCTCTCAGTATTTTATGTTAAGTTTGATGTACAAGTGGCTGAGAATCATTGATTACAGGAAGTGCCACAGCAATGACAAATCCAATGAAAAAGAAATAACAGTAATGACCAATGAACCAGTTTACACATTATAACATGTGTCTTTGACACTAATGACCCCTCTCTCTTTGCAAGAGCAGTACCATTGCCAGTCAGTGGACAGTGTACCTGGGAAGACAGACACAGCTGGGCATGAATCCTCACGAAGTGACCAGAGGGGTCCAGACGATCATTCTTTACCCCTACACTTCCTATATTTTTTATGATAACATCGCCCTGCTGAAGCTGAGCAGCCCTGTGAACTTCACTGACTACATCCAGCCCATCTGTTTGGCCGATGTCAACAGCTCCTTCCACAACTGCACCAGCTGCTGGGTCACTGGCTGGGCCAACATGACAGACAGTAGGTTAATCTCCTCTCTCTGATTGTCCAGGATGAGCCTCGGTTCAATCCCCTTCAGTAGACCCCGTCTCTGCCTTTGCCTCTGCCTCTG